CTACGACGAACTATCCGGAATTAATTTTTCTTGTTGAAACTGAGAAAACTGATGGCGAAGAGAGCTGTTTGGGCACTAGCTTTTGTTATTTCAGTGCAGATACGTGAAGAAGTGTCTGTTCTGTATAGAGATTTGAATCTCCGTCTCAAGCATTGTTTTTTCTCGGGATTAACCACATCATATCTTTCCATATTTATTCCATGCGTTTTCATACCGGTACGTTTTCATAATTTACAACTGCTGCTTTTTTTTATTTTTTACTGTAATTAGGAGCAGTAGCTCACGTGTCATTAGGCAGCGTTTTTGAAAGAGGAAAATGTAGGTGAATTTTGATAAATTGCTGCACATGAATAGGTATTTACGAATGAGATAACCAGCTTGAATAAAATTATCAGATATAACTGCGTTCAGCGTTTCTTTACCTAGAAAATTCATCCTGGGAGTAGTGGAGGCTGGGATTTTGTGAACACCGTTTCTTACTGCGTACAGGAGTGTAGACCTGAAATCAGCCTTTCCCCCCGTAGCCTGACTCCTCAATTTAATTTCAAAAACTCCATGTTATTGGCTGTTCGAGCGCAGGTTTTTATTTTGGTTAAGTACACAAACACCAACAACTTTTCTAGTTTCTTTGAGCAGTGTTGCACCGTCTGGTAGTTAACTTGCTGGTGATCATGAATTGATGCCCGCTTCGTTTTTTGAAGGGATTACCAACTCAGCGGATTTCCTGACCGATACACTTGGCAAGGTTTTTGCCATTTCAAGATGTTCTTTATCTGTGTACACTCCGATGGGCATCTTGGAACACTGAAACTCCTGGACCAGGATGGGGGGCATCTTATTGACCGAGAACTCGAGCAGCACTAATTCTAAATAAATTTCACATTCTTTTAATGCTTTTCCAACACCTGTAAGATTTGCCGTTTGTCCGATGATCATCGATATTTGCAGCAGAAATCGCCGTCTGGTTTACCGCAACACATGTATATTGATCTGCTCTGGGTTATCGAGCTCCTCTTCATCGTTTTCTTCACATCATTCTCACTTTATGCTACCTATCTGTTGCCCATCCAGTACTGCGACTTGATTCATCGGTGTGCGACACATCTCGGCAAATGGGTACAGGTGGAGCGGACAGCGGCCACCGCTGGCAATTCAACGCAGGCCGCAAATTTGGC